AAAATCAACAGCGAAACTTATAAAATTAAACAATATTAATTAACGTGAATAATAAATTCATAAACCTTTTTATTCTGAAAATATGCCAACGATATTGAAAATATACGGAAGAATTGGAAGAGTATTAAACGAACGATACCGGGCACCTCATGTTATAATATAGTTCATGGTATAATATAGTATTTAGTGCCAGTTCCCATGTGGCAGAAATTCGTCGCTAATAACAATACTTTGCGAAAGATTTCGACGAAGTAACAAAAATTGTATCTCTGATATACAAAGAATTCAATTAAATTTAGTAATATGTTATTGCTATCTTTGAAACAACAACCACTTGAAATTGCAAGCGATAGCGCATAGCAGGCAAACGCGAACAAAGGATTTGCGCTGTATTACGGCGCTCGTGTCATAGTCAGGCCATCGGGTAGACAAATAAATATGTATTTCAGAAAACTTGCCATAGCCTCGGGAGAGAGCTTGATAAACGATGCTTTGCTATGGAATTAAAGATCAACGTAACATTCATTTTATATATATGACAAAGATATTGGCGTCTTTGACGAATATGGTTAGCGTGGATCTGTGACATTTTATTCGAAGAATATCGTCGACATTGCGAGCGTTACATACAAAGAGTGTTTGGATATGTTTAGATAGTTCCTGCTAGGATAATAAATCAATTAGGACACTGAAAGTGAACAATGTACAATATTCACATAATTCATAAAAGAACGACTTAACGAAAATATAAATGGGGTATATATGGTATAAATACAAGAAATAAAAGGAAGAGTTCTCACGGTCTCGATCATTACACATACACTTACTATAAAAATTAGGAAATACAATAATTCCCTGAAAATTACTGTATATTTTTTTTATCTTCTGAGATATATTGAATGGGACTAAAAATACCCATACACCAACATACAATAAGTTTTAACGTTAAATATCTAAAACCAAGAGTGAAACTTGCTGGTGGTAATTTAACGAGGTGTCGGGTTGGTAGCCCTGGTCCGCTAATACACATGAGAGAAACAACAATAAATTCGTGAATTGAGATATCTTACAAACGCGTATATCGCCATTTGTAAACGAAAAAATGGCAACGCGACAATGACCCGAAACGTTGAATTAATGAAGGCATTTCTTCTGTAACAGAATGTTGATATAATTAAGTGGGTAAAAGGGAATCTCCTGACTTGCACGTTAGACGCCAACTGGGAAATTAAATTACACTTAATTAGAAATAAAAAGTAGTTAACACAAAAAACTACAAAATCATGATGTACCGACTGGGGTTTATGTTCGATTAACTGAATTAATGCCACACAGATGGCATGCAGTCAACAAACCCAAGGGTTGCCCAACGCCTTTCTACATTATTTTTTATTTAGGTTTTGTTAGAAGTGGTTATATAATTCAAACAAGGCGTGTTTCTTAACTTTTGTCGTTAAGTTTTATCTTGCTCTCTCGATATCAATATTAGCTGCAGACGTTACAAGAGTATCGACAAACAACGATATTATAATTTCATGTATGGACAGCAGTCCATGGAGAGAGCACTCCCTTTACCGTATTTTTAATTCCAATGATTATCAATGTATCTGAGAAGATAAAAAATATACAGTAATTCCCAAATAATGGTTACGTTTTTTTTAATTTCTGCCAAGAGAACGTACACGAGTAAAAAATGGTCCTTAGACGCAAAGTCACAGGCTGGCACTAAAAATCAAATTTTATATCGTTAATTCTACATGCATAACTGGTGCTACAAAATAAAAAAGATATCGTCGCCAGATGAATTTTCAATGTCCCTCTTTCAAATTATAATAAACGCACCTTCGAGTGGTCTTGAGAAGAACTCAAGATACCATTCATCAAGCACGTGATTGGTTCTCATGCGGCAAAACACGAAAACCGAAATGCAGATTACGACAGTCCCCTCATTAAAGAATTAACAAACCAGCCAAAAAGTACAAGGAAGACTCAAGAAAAATATTGGCAGAAGTTATCATTGCCGAATAATAATTAGCGGTTGAACAATCAAAAGACAGTATCCCAGCTTAGTGGATTTAGCACGCCCAAATGTCAATTTTTGCAAGAAATGAACGTTTATCCACGTCTATTCAACTATTTGAGAATTTTCCTTTGTTCACCCCCCACGAAAATTTTTTAGAAATTTTAGGTGAGATACAATTGTCTGAAATCAGTGAAAAAATTTATGTTGCATTCATGTCAGATTTTTAAATATTTAATATTTTAGATATAAATAAAGATTTTTAAAGCCCATACGCTCCGACTTCTAATTTTTATAATACTATGGTCTAATATTTGCAACGTAAAAAGTTATAAAGTGAATTTTCGAAACTAAAGTAATATTTATAGTTTTAACAATAATTATTTTAATCACAATTATTATTTTTGGTTTCGATAATAATTATTTTATTATAGCGGGAAGCATCACCGCATTTTCATACTTGTCGATAAGATTAAAAACAGTCGAGAATTAATCACAGAGTATTACTACACGCGCGAAAGTGGTGGTCCGATTGTTGGCTGTTGCAAGTCACATGATAAAAATTGCATAGCTCCTTGAATATGGTCAATATTATCGGTTTCATATACATATGCAACCCTCACATACGTAATGTATCTATCACCATTTTCACGGACCAAAATCAAGAAAGATAAATGTCGCTGTAGCAGGTGTTCTTTAAATATATCGTACGCCATATTGAATCGGCCATTGTGAATTTTGCAAAGCTAAGTTCAAATTCGTTGCTAACGGTCGACAAAATCTCTGGGAACGATCCTTTAAACTATCAGACTGACGTAAAAGTTCGTACGTCGAAACGTATGAGTTGACACGTTAATGGATTTCCACATCTTTGATTTCCCATGTCTCAGAAACTAATTGTCAGCTCAACTTGAAAGTTTATTGTGGTAGATGTTTCACCATAAGGGATCATTCGACACGAAATACAGTTCCAAAATTTGGGGGCAAGAAATAGGTGACTTTTTGGGTCAGTTTTTGCAATAAAAAAAAAAAGATTTTTCCGCGTTTTTCCTATATAGCTAATGTTTTAGATATGCTGAATCTAAATGAATGGAAACACCTTTTATTTAAATGTTATTAAACACGTGTTCATCAAATATAATTGACGTGAAAGCAAGAATTTTATTCTCACGATAGAACGTAATGACTTCTTATTACAATGTCCATTAAAGTGTTCCTTACAAAAAAAAGTACTTAAACGCGGAAAATAATCGGAGCGCAAGAATAGCCGTTGATTAATGCAGGTTTGGATACGTTATATTACTATTTAAGCTCTGAAATCACGAAAACGACCTCCATGTTCGCCAACCATTCACACAAATTATACGATCGTTAATTTTATTAAGAAATTATTCCATTGATTTAGAAAGAGTTAAGCAATAAAACACAATAAAATATCAATATAATACAGTAACTAAGAGCTGATTCTAAGAATATAATATAGTGTAAGAAATTAGGAATAAGAAGGCAATAACTTCCTTGTAATAGGCTGTAATAGGCCTAAAGTACAGATAAAATTATTATTGTTATATTCTTTGGACGATTAATTTGTTGGACGAATAGCAATAGCGTAGGTTTCTTTTTACGATAACAAGGAATCAAAAAATTGCATTTAACTTTTATCACATTTACTTGCGAAATGAAATGATTCCCGTTAATCTCATTAACGTTGGTTAGTCACTGTTCTCAAATTGTTTGTACAATAACAACCACAATATGCACATCTCTATTAATTGCATACCAATATACATATAATAATCGTGTACATATTTGACACTAAACAATGAATCCAGAATAAATTCATATATTTCTGTCAAATTTTATACAACAAACAATCTTCGATTGCTGTTAACAGCAAGGATCTTTGAAATTTATCACGTTATCAACGACATGTTTATAAAGATAAAACGATGTTATACAGTTATGTAATAACGATATGCAAAAGTTATATCACATTTGGATAATGTTAAATAACGAAAGATATAAAGCATTATTTTAACAGTACATAGCACGATAGAGTATCGTGAAGTTAGTGTATAACCTGAAAAGCAGTACATATTTAAAATCTAATCGATGCGAGTTTCAATTTAATTTAACCCAATCCCATTATAACTAACGATATTCGTAAACATAAATGTATCTCATGCGAATCTTTTTAATTTTTGTCGTGAAACTTGAAGAAAATATGTTATTCTTCAAACCTAACCTCACTTCATCCGAATACGCATGCTTTGATGAAAGGCATATCTACATTTTCAAGTATCTTTTAATAATTATAAAATTAACTTTTAGAATGAATATCTTTACTGTTTTACAAAACATTAATTAATTTGCTATAAATAAGGTGCAAATTAATCTATCTCAACAATTAAGCAAAGAAATTATTTTCTAAGAATCATTTTAACCTAACCTGATCGAAAGGGCAGTAGATTTCTAAACATTCCAATCTATTAGACATTGACTAACTTTAAACTAACCAATTTAAATAAAAGAAATATTCTACAGTTTTACTTATTTCTCACACAGAGTATTAAATTAGAAATTCTAAGTAAGAATTTTATGACAAAGCATGTTTATTACGGAAACGTAACGTTTATTGTTCCGGTGTTCGATATTAGCAATCACTTTCTTAAAAGCAGTAAATGAATATATGATATGTAAATACTGCAGTAAGCTGCACTGCATTCAGATTAGTGTCAGGCTTCGCATACGAAACAATACATGAAACACATAATAAAATATTAGATCAAATTTTAATCCCGATTATATTGCGAAAATTATAAATGAGCGAACTGTCGAATTTTCACTGTGGCATTAATTTACGAAAAATAGCTACGAATCATTCATCGTGTGAATGAAATTTTCGTCCAAGATTATATAAAACGTTATGCGTATGAACATCACAGAGAGTTAGGAAAAAATATGTGAAATAAAAGTTCACCATTTCAACACTTCACTTATAATTGCCACATCTTAAGATTTAGTTCACTGCACTAGACCACTTTTCTTTGATAAACACTAACTGAAAGGAGTACGTCAGTTTGCCAAAAGATTAGACGAGTTCTTGTGGATACAATATCGACGGAAAACAGACGCGCACAACGTCCTTCCAACGTGGAGGACGAGCGGCGACTAAAGTTCATCATATAGAATTTCCAGCAGCACTGCCGGGTCGAGCGCTCTGATTGGTCGAGCACTCTTCCGGGCGGCTCTTACGATTGGATATCCGACAAAAGAGCGCCTAATTGCATGTGACTTGTTATCACGGAGACGTAAAACGATATTTTAAATAAAGAACAAATGTATTTAGAAGTATCTCTCCAAAACATTTTTGTCGTAAATATCCTTTTAGCAAAATTAATGTATCACGCGAATCTTAGATTGCAAAACAAAATATTAATATACAGGGTATTTTAATAATAATAATAACTGGAACAGGCTATAACTCCGTCGTAAATGAAGATAGAGAAAAGTCGTAGAGAAAAAGTTTGCACTGTTTAACACGCTCTATCATACTACCGTGCTAGTTTTTCTCGCATATACACCGGTGCAGTTGCGAAGCGCGTTGCACACCTTTTTCAAACGAGTCTCTGTAATTTTGTATAAACCATTCGACGCATTTTTTAGTTTTCAGAAAGTATTGACGTACTTGGATCGATGAATGATACAAATTTGAAAGATATCTCAATTCTAATTTCACCAAATTTGATATATCAAAAATAAGTCCATTTTTCGACCCCAAGTACCTCAATACTTTTTTCCAGAGAATGAAAAAACACATCGAACGATGTATAAAAAAGATATGTTCCATTGAAAAAAAAATACAGATGACCTTGAAATCTTTGATACGCCTCACTTTCACAAACACGTGTAATTTTTCCTAATACAAATTTTTTCTATCTTCTACGTTTCAACGCTATAGCTTGCTCTAATTTTTAGAAACACCTAATAAGCTGTGTAATATATATGAGTAATATACTACTCTCGTATATCTAAATAGAGATATTTGAGTGATCGCGAAGAACGTATAAAACTTGTGAAAAGTTGATTTGATAAAAGTATTTAGATAACGATTTATGAATAAAATTGAGATACCAACTTATTGATAAAACTGCACGTGTATAATGTTAGAAACGTACGACCATAATTCCTCGTGTACATCTGTAGCAATAAATGATTCATTACGCTTTAAATCTCTCACAATCTTCTTATGATATAGGTAATTATTTACCTTCTAGTTACGTTTGAAAATGACATGGAAATATCTTTGCATATGAATTATTAAACATGTATCTACATCGACTGTTTTCATTCAAATGTGTATACGTATGTATTTCAAGGAAACGGCGGTCCTAGTGAATGAAAGGAATTAAAATAATCTTTAATTTTGAAATGTAGCGAAGCAAAGATTAAATATAGGAATGAAGCAAGCTACAAAATCCGCAAAGCTGAGAGATAAGCTGAGAGGGGCTTCGAACATCGCACATTTCCCGATAAACACTCGAAACAGCGAATTCATTGAGTAATTCGGCCGTACGTACGAAACCAAAACTAGCGAAAATAAGATGTTCGAGGAGAGAAATCAGTCGCTAATGACGACGTCCAAGGAGCATTATCGCGAATTAACGATAACGAGCGAAAGATAAAGGTAGAATTTTATCGATGAAATTGCTAGCTTATCGATGAAATAAAAAAAAAACGCTAACTAACAATAAGTTCTAAACATGATTTACGAAGGCGATAAATAATCTGCAATTTCCTGTGCGAAATTCGAGGGCGAAATATTTGAGGATCGAGAGTTGACGCACAGTTTCCTCATCGCAAGTTCTTCTCAGCGCTGCAAGAGAATTCTGAGAGAAACAGTGCGCACAATTTTACTTTCTCAGGTCTTTTTCGGTTAAAAACCCATTGTTATGTAGCTCTTGGAAAGTGCTGCTTTAAAAGGTGCCGTGTACCTCATTTTCTTAGAAAATTCTTCAATTTCTTAAAAATAAAAAATCGCCATCACCGTGTGACATCGGTAAGTGCCATATACAGAGTGGTCCAGCTGTAATTTCGTCATCTGTAACACCTTGCTTGTTTTTCACGATATTTAAAAATTATTTTACGTATAAGTTGAACGATTTCGAGGGGAATATAATTTGCGGCGATTAGACTTTTTGTAGATGAATGCGTGGAGGACATACGAAGGTCACCGATGCTTTCTTCAATGGGATCACGTGTGTTCTTAAAACGTTAGTCGATCCAGCTAGACATTATTTCCAAAAAAGTACTATTTATGTCGAAAAACTATCTTATTTGTTAATTACCATTACAGTATTATTTATTATTTATTTACTATTATTTAATATATATTATACTATTATATTATATTTATTTAGCATTGTATTATTTATTAGTTCAGTAGATATTTTTATTTCAATTTGTCATACTTAACTATTCTTAAAAAATTGATATTTTTTCGATATAACAATATATATACTATAAAATACTATAAATGTATTAAATACTACGCAAAATTATACCTAATATGTAACTATAATGGTATTTTTAAAAATCTCCCAAATGAATATCTCTCGAACGCCTACAGATTATACTATTATATTTATTTAGCATTGTATTATTTATTAGTTCAGTAGATATTTTTACTTCAATTTGTCATACTTAACGTATGACAGACAAAGATAGTCTCTCGTTGCCAAATTTTCACAAATTAAATTTTTAATTGTCTGCTATTTTTAAAAAATTGACATTTTTTCGATATAACAATATATATACTATAAAATACTATAGATGTATTAAATACTACGCAAAATTATACCTAATATGTAACTATAATGGTATTTTTAAAAATCTCCCAAATGAATATCTCTCGAACGCCTACAGATTATACTATTATATTTATTTAGCATTGTATTATTTATTAGTTCAGTAGATATTTTTACTTTAATTTGTCATACTTAACGTATGACAGACAAAGATAGTCTCTCGTTGCCAAATTTTCACAAATTAAATGTTTAATTGTCTGCTATTTTTAAAAAATTGATATTTTTTCGATATAACAATATATATACTATAAAATACTATAGATGTATTAAATACTACGAAAAATGATACCTAATATGTAACTGTAATGGTATTTTTAAAAATCTCCCAAATGAATATCTCTCGAACGCCTACAGATTATACTATTATATTTATTTAGCATTGTATTATTTATTAGTTCAGTAGATATTTTTACTTTAATTTGTCATACTTAACGTATGACAGACAAAGATAGTCTCTCGTTGCCAAATTTTCACAAATTAAATGTTTAATTGTCTGCTATTTTTAAAAAATTGATATTTTTTCGATATAACAATATATATACTATAAAATACTATAGATGTATTAAATACTACGAAAAATGATACCTAATATGTAACTGTAATGGTATTTTTAAAAATCTCCCAAATGAATATCTCTCGAACGCCTACAGATGATCTCACTCAATCACTTTGTTATCGTACGCATTGTAGTTCATCGGTCGAGCGAACGTATAACGTCGTAGCATGATCGTTTTACCTTGTCGATGTTCGAAAACTTTCGACGCTGTTTAAATTTGACGTGTTTCTTCCTTTTTTCCTTTTCGTATTTCTTATTATTTTACCATACTTATTTGTGCTTCTCGTTGCTGCTCACATACGAACTGAAGTAAGTACAAGCTGAATATCGTGTTTTCAACTTCGTGCAGTTCCAAATATGGCCACCCCAGTAGTGGCGCAATTACGCAATATTCCGTATTTGCATCGCTTTCTTTCTAGGTTATTTTATTTAGAGGAACATCTAGAGGATGCTCTGCTGCAGCATTAGGAAAAATCAACACGAAAGAAAGTCATGAGAAGAAGGTGGCTCGAGCCATAAAAATCATTGGAGAAAAGAAAATGGGGTATCTGAAAGCAGCAAACTACTTTCAAGTGGACAAGAAGCTGCTGTGCTGCAGTCCAGTTTGATACTTGCATTTACGACTACTGTAAGCGTCTATTTCTTAATGTGGTTCTTTTAAAATGTGATTTTATTACCAAAAAAAGAATAAAGTAGGACGAGAATAGAACTATTCTTTGTTTGTTTTCCATGAAAATGTGGTACCTCGTGTCGGTATTACATCTTTGGGTACGTGTTCCATATTAGATATAATTTCTGTCCTTTTTAAGGTTAGTTCGGGAGAGAAATTTGTTCGTAGCGTTATGAGTATAAAGTAGCCTTAAATTGAGTGTAAATATACGAATAACCGTAGAAAGCTTTCTTTGTTGTGATTTATTTTCCAAGAATAACATTCGAAATACGATATGATATTGCAGGTTTGGCTAATTTACTTTTTTATCGGGGACGACAAGATGGATCGATTGCTGCAGGGCTTCTTAAACTATGAGTCGTAATCCTATATAGGATCGTGTAACAGAGTTACGAGGTCGTGAAACTTTTATAACTGTCACACATCGGTGAACTAAAAAGTGTCAATCATCTGTCACCGAATGATCAAGCGATTAATCGACATAGATATACAACAGCATTCTTTTAAAAAACAGTTTGAATGAATTTTTGCTTGGAATGAATACAGAAGTTCCAATAATTTATAAAATGTCCTTAAACACACACTTATCGCTATTTTATGCTATGTATCTACTGCAAAAGGACAACATCATCGTGAACGATTGCAAAATGAAAATATCGATTAATTCTGAAAAACATTGAACGTACTTTGTTATATCAGATATTCAGCCAGAATTTAATTCTTTATGCAAAAATAAACAAGCACATCTGTCTCGCCGATATGCAAATTTAATTTTGCTCTAATATTAATAAATAATTATAATATATAATATATAATTATAGTCTAATTATAAATGTAACAAAGAATCGTTTAGAATTAAACTTCTCTAATTATTTAATTAATAAATGACTCGTATTAAAAAAACCGTTGTCTTTTACTTCGTTTAGAAGTTATCGTCAATGAGAATCAGTCAGTTATATATCGTCCATTCTGTATATTTAAGTTATGTACCTTTTCATGTATATAGGTTGTCTTACCTCACCCTGTTACACTTAATTACTCGTTTATTTGCGACGATACAAGAGAACGTTTCGGACGAAAGTTACATGGTACTGTGCTTTTGTCTATCTGACCTTACGATGACCTTGAGTCGCATAGCAAAGGTGGCATAAAAATTTTTAAATAGGTGCCTTTATTTTTCATTAGGTACTCTCGTACTTGATATTTAAACGTGTTGCAAAAGGCGAAAACTTGTGTCCTTTGCAGCATCTGCTATCGAGATATAAACCTTTAACTTCGACATACAAGAAATTCGATGCTAGGAAATTAGCTGAAAGTGACTGCTCGAAATGAATTGACTATTTTGGACACGTTACAAAACTGCAATCTTATGTTTCTTTATGCCTGATCGTAGTGTACATCAGATAACGTTAATGCGCGTGGCGCATTGAATTTTAGCACGTTCACGCCGGCGTGTGCCACCGGTGGCTCACGCTTGAATCTCCCACCAGGCGGCGCGCACCACCAGTGGCTCACACTTGAATGTTTCATCAGACGGTGCACACCAGCAAAAATGTAATTCGTAACTAGAAAAAATTGCCATTTGGTTGAAAATTTAACGTATATTAATTGAAAAAAGTAGGATTTATTTAACAATATAACAATTCAGTACTATAAACGTGTTAGAGTCCGCATCCCGATAGTGTTGTATAGCGCGAAACACACGAGTTTGTAGTGTTTTGAAAACGTCTGAACGTCGGCTAAGAGCACACGTAATAAAAGACAGAGTTTAAAGATTTAACGTCGTCTTTACAGGACGCTTCAAGATCGTCGCAAGGTTAAATAAATAAAAGCACTCGATACCAAACAAGTTTTGCCTGAGACATTTTTCTGTATCATCGCAAATAAGGATGTAATTAAGGATGACAGAGTTAGGTGGGACACCCTGTATAACTGGGGTGGCGTGAAATATTTCCTGGCAAAATGGAGTTGCGAATGGGAGGTTTAAAAAGTGCTGAATTAATGTATTGAGAAATTCATGATTCCATGAAGAAAAAGAAAGAAGAAAAAGGAAGGAACATCGGTGACCTTCATATGTCCTCTACGCGTTCACATAGGATAAAACTAATCATACCAAATTACGTTCCCCTCGAAAGCATTCAACTTGTACCTGAAACATTTTTTTTCTTAATATTATCAAAATCGAGCGATATATTCCAGGTGATAAAGTCAGGTGGACCACCCTGTATAAGAAACGATGTAACACTTACCAATATAAAACGATTTGCCTAACGTTTAGCGTAGAGAAGCAGGAAAGACAGTGATAAAAGAATTGATATAAACAATTACTTACTGAAATAATTGAGAGTCTCCCGGATTTGCTCCGGTGACAATTTTAAGTCAACGTCTATTGATTTTAGGGCCGGTGAAGGGATGAACCAATCCGCGTTCTCGTATCCTATAAACAATAAATAACATCAGTCATACGAATATTAAAATATATTTAAATATATTTGGCGACAAGAAAAAGAAAATAGCAATTACAATTAGACAATTTTATACAAATTCACATGTTTGAGAACATAATCGAGAAAGTAGAACCTAGGTAGAAAATTGATTTAGTTACCAAGTATTTATTATAGAAAAAAATGTACTTCGAATATTTTAATGCAAATTGCCTTATCTTTATCGATTCACGCAAATATCTGCCAAGCTACACATTATTCGAAAAAGTGTCTCGAATAAAGCTTACTTTGTTTCCAGTAGGCTATTTTGTGATAGCCACAATTCTTATGTGGGTGGACGCACCTTCGACGTTTCATGGTAATCTTCGCTTTTTTTAAATACAACTGTACATTTTTTTATAACCATTCGGTGTATTTTTTAGTTCTCTACAAAAAAGTATCGAGGTACTTGGGTGGAGAAACGACCGGTTCAAAAGATATTGTAACTTTAATCTTGTGAAGCTCGTCGTACACCCACAACTTGACAAACTTAACGTTGAGATATCTTTTAAACCAAGCATTTTCAGATACAAGTACCTTAATACTTTCTTCTAGAGAATTAAAAACTGCATAGGATGGCGTATAAAAAAATGTACAGTTCCATTCACAGAAACAAAGATCACTTGCAGATCTAGAGAGCGTCTAGGCAAATCTGGTGGCCATCACAAGACGTGCCATTTGAAACGCGACGTGTTTTATCCACTAATGGGTCACTTTTTCGGATAATACACAGTTTGAGAGATGTTCGGCTCGATGAAAATGAGACATCCTGTACATCTTTTCACATTATACACATTCCGGGTAATTTTACACTTTCAAGTTTTTTATAAATGCATAAAAATCTGGAGTCTGATTGTAGTAAACGAGAGAGGTAAAAAACACACGCATACTCATACACGTGTGTATAATAAAAATATTTTGTTATTATTTAGATTCTTTGGTTGCATCAAAACATTTGGATCATTAGCAGCCAACGTTATTTACGTAACAGCCATTACGTAAGGTTACAAGTCGGAATATTACAGATTGTGTTAAATTAAACGAGAAAATATTTTTTCGCGTTGTCGTAACAAATTTTCGTATTACTTCGCGAATAAAAATGATTTATTCTAAATATCACAATAATACTACTCGTAACAATGAAACACATTCGAGTGAAATGACAATGGTAATTATTTCTTTGTACTGATGATGTTTCTTTTCACTTTTGTAAACATGTATAATTTATTAAATTTATTGTAAATATATACGTGTTTATTTTGTGTATTAGGTTGTCCCAAAAGTTTCTCTCGTATTATAGAGAAATAACAGATGCAATACATTTTCTGCTTTATATTATTATATTATAATATAATTACATCATATTATATGTAATATTATTTTTATTTATATTATTTGGTTTTCTATTATTATTTATCGAATATTCTATTGGAACAATTTGGATCACACATAATTCAATGAAACAATACGAAACGAAAAATGTAGTGCATCCATTATTTCCTGATAAAACGAACGAAACATTCGGGACAAGCCAATATAATAAAATTGCAAGTTTACCCTCAATTTACAGAATTTACGCGTAAACGAAGTAATTAACGCCGTGTAAAAATAGGCTGACTAAATTAGATTGATATACAAGTCTGAAAGACGATTTGCAAGTGTTATAATGTAATAGATTTGATGCTTGCGAGTGTACGTTTTTACAAACACACTAATAACAGTGAGAACTAGAAAATTCCTGGCAGAATGCATTTTATATATTTTTCTATGCACCGACGTCGTCGATCTTGTTATCGAAATAATATAGTTTACATGGCCTTTGTAACAGAATTGCCTATTTTATCTTTGACGAAGACTTTGTAATAATTAAGTTCAGCTTATGCGCCATCATAAAGTTTCAAAAGTAAATTACACTACTAACACGTATAGTTGTTGATAATGTGCGTATGATAATGACATCTACAACGTGTACTTGTTTCAGCGAGCAGAGTGTCCTATAATTTTGCTGTATATGGTAGACTCTATCAGCGCGCTCTGTACGTAGAAATACGATGAAAAGATCTCGTGATAAAATGTTCGTAAAAATGTTTCATTAAGAAAATATAAAATATAATAAAATAAGGGACAAAATAATACTAATATTGTATCAATATTAATACTATATTAATAATACTAATATTCTTAATAGTATACACGTGTATGACAATGAGTTAATTAGGAAAATCGACACTGCAATAGCAGAAATTAAAAAATGATTCCAACGAAATTTAATCCACGACAGACTCGATAGACCCGTGTACTAAAATGTACCTACGTCGGTACAAGGTATTTTGCGATGTATTTAACATTTTACTATGTCGGTAACATGTTTCCTATCGATAAGGTCACGCGACGCTTTGAAATGGAAACGTGAGAACGTACATACAGGGTTAGATCGAACAATATGTGAAATTTGTGATTCGACGTGATTCCTCGTGGAAAAATACGACAAAAATGTGCCACAGAATTTTTCACTCTCGGGTTAGTTTACGAGAATATCGAGTTCGAGAATTTGTCAAGTATACTCGATCATGCGCAGGTCTCAATAATCGACAGAAGGTCATTCTACGTGTGAAAACAAGTGGAAAACGTGAAATGAAATTTGTTCACAGGACGCTTCGTTACAGAGAAAAATAAATTTGTAGATACACCAGTTTCCTTGAAAGTAGAACGAAACCACAAACAGGAAAATTTTATTCCACATTTTCGATTTATTTTCGCACGTGCAACGACCTGCGGTCGATTATTTGGTTCTAGCTTATCCGAAATTAGCCATGTTCCGGTCTACTTCATAAATTTTCAAACTCGATTTCCTGCGAAACTAAACAGAGAAGAAAAATTTCTACGCTACATTTTCCCCCCTGTTTTTCCACAAGGAATCACGCCGTGCCAACTTTTACGTTATTCTATCGATTTTATACGTGACTTGTGAATAATACATGAAGTACGTATGGGCTTTTTGTTGGATTTGTTTTGCTTTTG